GGGTATTTCGCGGGCGGCTGGCGCACGAAACACAGACGCAACGCTCCATGCCGCGATACCGAAAAATGATCGGGTCGCTTGGACCCGTGTCAACCACGTGGCTCGACAGTGACAATTCCGCACCGAGGCCTCGGCCTCGTCGCGCGCGCAGGCGGGGCATGGGGGCTATGGCCCTATGCTTCGACGAAAAGTGAGTGGGAAGGCGAGACGGCAGCTCGTCAGCTTGAACGCCATGACGCTTCGAACTCGCTTAGGCCGTCAGACGCAGCAGGATCAGGAACAGATAGTGGTGCCCATGTCCGGTAGTGGGCGAATCGGCAGGGTCCTGTGCGCTTGGCCCTCTGGTTCGCGCCAGCCACGGGCTTCGCTAGCTTGTTGGGCAGCTTCCATGGCAGTCGAGATTCCAGGTGCCACTCGACTCATCCGACTTGGGCCATGTGGCGGGCCTCCATGTTGCGATGAATGGGGGTAAGGTCCTGGCGCTCGAGCGTCCCAGTCTGCCAAGGTACGGGACCGTACGGTAGGCCGCCCAGCTGTGCTCTTATTCCCAACTAGACTCGAGTCTGGCTGAGCGCATGAACAGGAACAGGCCCGTGCAGCGCCGTCGTCGAGATGCTAGCACGGCAAGCCAGCCCTGTCCTGACTCTCGCACGCTCAGACTGGGCGACGACGGCGGATCATGGGAACCGGCGTCACCGGATAGGTCGAGAGACACGACGGACTGTGTGCCCGGCCACAATAAGGCTGTTCGAGAGGGTCCCCAAAGACGCATTCTTTCGGAGATGACACACAAAGCAGACGTATTGGTCTCTGTACGACGGACAAGGCCCAGGGTCCGGATCAAGGCTATTGTGCACCGCGCGTCTCGTTCGACTCTTGACGTATAAGTCCAGAGCACCATGCGCATGGTCCTCTCGTCCTTTTAGCGCCATGTGATTTGATGTCTGTGTGCCTTCCACAGCTGCACGCGACGCCCATCACATCCGGAGTCATGAGCGAGGTACCAGGCGTGCCAGGACGTGTGCAATGTTTATCCCCGGCGCAGGCGCCAGCGTGGGATTCCACTGGTCTGACTCGAGGCCCGCCGTCGACGACGCAGTCCGGACGATGCGCAACGAGAGGTCGGATGTCAGGTTCGCTGCGAGCTAGGAAGCTGTTTGTCGGATGCGGGTTTGTTTCGCCCTATTCCGATGTGTCTTCGCCTGGTATATGTCGGGCTTGCGGCACATGGTCCCCGGTTGACCGGTGGAACAACGATTCCAGACATGGCAGCAGTTTGGAAAGCTCAGGAGTTTTGCATACGTATCATTCTTTTCCAGCGTTTCAATCTCACGGCAAGGATTTGAGTAATGGCTGGGGCTGGAAAGCATGGCTGAAGTGGTTTAGCTGAAGAAGGGTTCTAGTGGCTTGCCGGGGGTTATTGGGTCGAGAGTAATGGTCGGCCTGGGCCTGCGTCTGTACACATTCTTCAGCCGATGCGAGATAAGAGAGGCTGTGGGTAAGTTGTGAGTATCAGATTATGCGTGCTGATACACCCGGGAATGACTATACCGCCACGACTTCACACCTCTTTTGTGTTTTGAGCTTGCCAGGATGTAAAGGTAGACAACTTTGTGCGCATTGCATGAAATGCCGGTCTCTTCTGAAGGCACGAGCCGATGCCTGTATAGATACATCTCGCCAGGGCGATGATGCATTGTGTCGAGCAGAAACATTGCCAGAAGAGGAAGTATTGCAACAGACTGCGTAGTGTTAAAACTCTCAAGCCTTCGTTGTAGGAGCGTCGATGACTCATTTGCCACCCTAGCCTTCGCGACATTGAATATAGGTCACTTCCCACAGCTTTGTTCTACCCTGCCTGTACGGAGAGTCTCTTTTTCAGGAACATGGCATCATCTCTTAAGATTTCTCTTGATGCTGCATGGAAGAAAGCATCCACTTGACTCGTAAGGTATAGACAATCAGGTTTACATCATCAATCACCGTCAGCCCTCACGCCCTAACAAACACAGGCATCCACTCCAACGGGGCATCAACCTCAACCCATTGACCGCCAGAATACCGCTCCTCTTTGCCCTCCTGCAAAGACGTCCACTCGCCGCTCGCCAGCTTCGGCAGGTAGACTTTCGACCGCCTCGCGCCCTCCTGCAGGACGGGGCAGCACAGATACTTGTCGCCGTACATGTACTGCTGCCCGATCCTCCAGCACTCCTGGTCCTCGGGGAACTCGTAGAAGAGCATGCGCATGACGGGCGTGCCCTTCTCGTGCGCCTGCTTCATCAGCCCCCGCGTGTACTCCCGTAACGTCTCGCGCAGGACCATGTACGTTTTGCAAATGGCATACACGTCCTCGCCGTAGGACCAGACCTCGTTCGGCGCGCCGCTGAGGCACGCGGCGCCCCCCGTCGTGCCGTGCTGCGGCTGCATGGGCTCGCGGAAGCCGTGAAGGCGCATGACGGGACAGAAGGCTCCCCACTGGAACCACCGCACGAAGAGCTCGCGGAACCGGGGGTCCGTGGGGTCGCCGCCGTGGAAGCCGCCAATGTCCGTCGTCCACCACGGCAGGCCGGCGACGCCCATGTGCAGGCCGGCGGCGACCTGGTTGCGCAGGCTGATCCACGAGGAGCCAATGTCGCCGCTCCAGACGAGGGCGCCGTACTTTTGGCTGCCGGCCCACGCGCAGCGCAGCAGGTTGACAATGTTCTCCTGGCCCTCGGCGCGCATGCCCTCGTAAAAGGCGCGCGCGTACTCGAGCGGGTACAGGTTCCCGACGGCCGTGTTGGGCCCCGCGTGGTAGCGGTAGTTGTCAAAGTCGTAAATCTTGTACTCGGGCTCGGCCTCGTCGAGCCAGAAGATGCGGATGCCCTTGTCGTAGTAGTTCTTCTTGGCCTTTTGCCAGACGTACTCACGCGACCCGGGGTGCGTCGCGTCAAAGTGCACCGTGTTGCCCATGAAGTCCATGGCCGCGCGGATGCCTCTGTCGACGCGGATGAGATAGCCCTTCTCGAGCATCTCGCGGTAGTTTTCGCTGCGCTTGTCGACGGTGGGCCAGATGCTGACCATGAGCTCAATCTTCAGCGCTCGCAGCTCGGCGATCATGGCGTCGGGGTCGGGCCAGTAGGTGGGGTCGAAGCGCCAGTCGCCCTGCGTCGGCCAGTGGAAGAAGTCGATGACGATGAGGTCGATGGGGAGCTCGCGGCGGCGGTACTCGCGGGCAACGGAGAGGAGCTCCTCCTGGGTCTGATAGCGGAGCTTGCACTGCCAAAATCCCAGCATGAATTCGGGTGCCAAGGGGACCTTTCCCGTAGCGTCAGCGTAAGCTTCGACGATGGCGGCGGGCGTGTCGCCGGCGACAATCCAGTAGTCTAGCGTCGTCGTGGATCGCGCATCAAAGGACATGATGTTGCGGCCGAGAAACGCTCTGCCAATGGATGGGTTGTTCCAAAGCAGGCCGTAGCCGAGGGAGCTCAAGGCAAAAGGCACAGAGGCCTGTGAGTTGCGGTGGGCGAGCTCAAGGTCATGGCCCTTGAGGTCGAGGAATGGCTGTTGGTACTGGCCCATGCCGAAAAGCTTCTCGTCTGGATCGACGGATTCAAAACGAGCAGTCAGGTGGTAGCTGTCGCTGTTGGCGAGGGGCTTGAACTCGCGAGCCTCGACGTTGAGGGCGCTGCACTTGGGGTCGCGGACATCTTTGCGGGCGCGGGTGTACTCCTCAAGCAGCAGATCGCCCTTTGCATTGTGTACAGTAATTTTGCCTGCCTTGGTGATGGAGGCTATGATGTTGCCGTTCTTGAGCGTGCCACCGCTCTGCTCGTCAATGGTAACATTGGGCGTAGCTGCGGCAGGCTTCAGCAGGGCCCAGTCTTCGTGGGGCATCTCCCGAGCGCGGGTCGAGCGGATGCGCAGGGCGTTGGCACCCCATGGCTGGATCCAGAGCGTCTCGGCATCGAACTTGAAGACGAGCTTGTCGTCGACTGTCTGGAGCATGTTGATGTCGTGTGGTAATGCGATGATGATGATGATAATGGCGATCAATGCTTTTGCTCAGGTTCCTGGTCGAGGAGGGGGTGAGGAGGAAGGAGAGGCCATCGTCGTCGTCGAGAACTCGAAGAAACCCTTTATGTTCGGGAACCCCTCACGTTTCCTCTCTCTGCATCCAGTCGCCGTATCGTGAAGCCCGTCTGCGGTTTAGGGGAGCTGCCAATGGCGCGGGAATACCGGCTGGGGCATCTGGTAGTTGTAGGAATCTCGAACAGGTGATGCCTCGCACGTTGGCCTCGCCAATGGGCGTTGTGGAAAGCCGCTGTCAAGCTTCAGGGGGGTTTCGGCGAGAAAAAGCCCATCTACAGCGGGTTCAGCGCTGGACTGCGGGGTAGGCTGCTACCTAGGTACCTGGTAAGGTGCCTCCCTACCTAGGTAGGTAAGGTAGGTAGGTAGGTAAGGTAGGAGGGAAGCTACCGAAATGGTACATGCCGCTGACCCGCTGAGCCCCTGGCGCCCGGCTCCAGTTGCCCATGTCTGCCGTGCATCCGAGGCCTCTTTGCCAGCATCTTGGACCCTATGGAAGTCTCCGTGGGATGTGCTTGGGAAGCTCATCGTTCGTCACTGCCGGCGTGGGTGAAGCCAGAAGAGTACGCCCCATGTCATGATTAGGCTTTTATGCCCGTGAGTTGCCGCTCGCTCCAGTCACATGCAGACTGACTGATACTGGCTTAGGTACTGCTGCAAAGGCTTCAGAGGGGAAGCTGGAGACCAACCTGCAGCAGTCAGCCGCCACACCGCCAGCCAGCCAGCCAGCCAGCCAGCCTCTGTTCAGCATCGTTGCTTAACAGTACTAATCGCAGCAATTTTGACGACGTCTACGAATCCTTTTGCTTCCCATTGCGCGTTGCCGTGGTGCTGACTCAGGACGGGGTGTCCGTGGCTTTGTTCTTGTACGGCATATTCAGCTGGATCTTACATGCCTCACCAACTCGCCCATGTGAATCGCAGGCGAGTTGGGTGGCATCATGTGTCAAAACAGCTGTCTGGTGAAGTACAACAGCATGGTGGACAGCCCTGTAAACGAAGCAGCAGAGGAAAAGGAGCAGGAAAACAGAGCCCGGCCTTGACTCCTCTCATTGCGTCCAACTTGTAGAGCATCGCCATGTCAGCTCCAGACCACATCGCCATCTCCCTGACATCCCCTCTCGAGAGGGACACAATGTTGACCCTGGCAACACGCTCCATTACCTTTCTCTCGATCAACAACCCACAAGTCCGCCTCAAGGCCATCGAGGCAATCTTCACCCCCGACACTGTCTGGTTTGACTCGGATGGCAGTGCGCACCACGGACACGACGGCGTGCTTGCGCACTCGACCATCGTGATGGACCAGCAGGATGGCACCGTCCACAGCCCCGCAGAAGACGTCAAAGTGTGCCAGAACATGGCGACGTCGCGCTGGAGGGTCGTGCCAGAAGGGACCGAGGGGGATCCCGGGCAGGCACCGTCTCAACTGGGTGGCAATGTCATTGTTGTGGAGGGCGCAAAGATCAAGGTCTTGTGGTCGTATCTCGACAATTTCCAGCCACCGCTGAGGCCGTCGCCTGAAGGCTAGTTGTGAGATGCATGTGCGGGCGAGGCGGACGAGGTTGACATTCGAGTGTTGCGTGCATTGGGTAATCATTTTCCACAGCTGTAGGCAATGAAGTCTTCACCATGCTCGCGACGAATTGACGTTCATTCTTCGAATCTCTTAAGAATGCCATTGGTTTCCTATCCATGGTCGATGATGCTTTCTTGAATCGGGTGTCGTCGGAACACAACCACCTCAGAGACGGTAACCTCTGGAGAGACGGCGGGCAACGAACGGCAACCTCTGAGAGATGACTGGCAACGCAGCCCTTGAATGAGTCCAAGACTCGCCTGAGACCTATGACGAGTGTCGATCAGGGCCACTGCTGGCGCAATACCGGCGAGGCAGGACCAAACGCCCCTCCACCAATGACAGACACCAATGGGCCCAACGTCGTCATCATGATGGGATGGCAGTGACGACAGGGAGCGCCTGCCGTTCGATAAGGGACCACAGTAGCTGCCTGTTTGCTTCAGGTGCATTGGGAATGAGCTCTTGCTCCGAATCTGGATTCTACATCATCCCTTCTGCTGCCAGTCTGCATCACAGTGTCTGCCTCGATCAACTCCCACCTATTGACCAGCCTCCATCATCAGCTACACAACCAAACCATCAAACACCAGCATCACTCATCAACACCAACACCAAGAAACATGAATCGATCCCTCCTTCGCCTGCGGCCCACGGCCATCCACCTGACGAAGCCCGCCGTGGCGAGCATCTTGCGGCCCTCAACCTTTGCCCCTTGTCTTCAGCCTATCAACCGGACAGCCACCTTTGCCGACGAGCCTCCGACGAAACATCTTGGCGGCTCCGCCATTGACGACAGCCTCGCAGACGGCGACGCTCGCGGTCGCACAGGCGGCGGTGATGGCCTTGAAAGCTCCCAGAACGCGCCCAGGCCCCCCAAGGTTGACAGCGGCGCCCTGCCCCAGGGCAAGGACAAGGGCCTGACGAAGGAGCAGCAGGAGGAAGTCGACCAGCACAACAAGGAGTTTGAGGCCACGCGAGAGGCTGCTGCTGCAGCACCGGAGCAGGACAAGGTCAGCAAGGACTTTTGGTCGTCTAACGAGGGCAAGTCGGTCAAGAAGTAGGGTCAGCGCCCAGAGCGAGCGCTGGATTGATAGAAGCATGAATCCATTGTTTGATACCCCGAATGCTGTTTCGCACTCGCTTCCGTCTTCTTGGAAGGCGATGGTCTATCATTACTGCCTACTACATCCGTCTCGTCTGTACAACTAACCAAATGACACAACCTCACAGCTCGTTCTCCAGGTCAACCACCTTTTGGATGGCATCGACACCCGCCGCAAACACAGCATCGGACACCGTTGGCAGCGGCGCCCTCGCTCGGGGGTTGCCATAGCCATACCACTTGCCGACGGCCGCCTTGACGCCCGAAATACCTCCCTTCTGCAGCGCCCAGTCCGCCACGGACAACAGTTTCTGGATCTCCTGTGCCTTGGCCAGTTCTCCGGCCTGATACAGGCGCACGAGCTCAATGTGCAGCTTCGGCACCACGTTCGCCAGCGCCGAAATGGCTCCCTGGCCACCGACGACGAGCCCCGGCAGCAAAAAGTCGCCCTTGCCGACGAGCGGCGCAAACCGCGCGGCGTCAAACTCGGCCGACAGCCGCTGCAGCTTGCCAATGTTACCGCACGTCAGCTTGACGCCGACAATCTGCGGCGCCTCGCGCGCGAGCTCGCCAATCATGTCCGAGTCGAGATCGATGCCCGACCGCACGCCGGGGAAGTTGTACAGCACGATCGGCAGCGGCGACTGCGCGGCGACGTCGAGAAAGTAGCCCTTGAGAACCGGCTTGGTCATGGCGGCGGCCCAGTAATTGGGCGGCAGCACGAGCGCGTGGTCGGCGCCCGCGGCGTGGGCCGCGCGCAGCGCCTGCACCGTCTCGCGCACGCTGTTGGCGCTGCAGCCCGCCATGATGGTCGCCTTGGACCCCTTCTCCGTGATGAGCCGGCGCGCGGCCTGGATGACCTCGACTTTCTCCTCCGGCAGCAGGTGCGTTGCCTCGCCGTTGCTGCCGTGGATCACGAGGCCTGTCACGCCCGCGTCGAGGAGGCGGGCGAGGTGCTGTTCTGTCGCGGCAAAGTCGATCGATTCGTCTTCTGCGAAGAAGGTGACGGCTGGTGTGTAGATGCCGAACGGCGGGGGGCTAAAGGTTTGCGACATGGTGACCGTCTTTGGTGTGAAGGACGAGGGTGGGAGGCTGTCAGTAAGGTAAAAAGGGACGAATGCGAAGACTATGGTGCAGAAAGGATGCTGTCTGATCCAATGGTTGAGTCTTGCAATGATTAGCCTTTAATCGTCACTGCAACATCATGGGCGACGCCTCTTTATGAACGACATGACCTGTCTCATCCGACGCAAGCAACCGACCGATCTGACAGCTCGTCCACAGCCCCGCCGGACCGGCTGCCCCTCCGATACTCTCGCCATGGCCGCACCATTACACAGTCAGGTACACGGCGATTGGCGCGATGCCGGTCACCATGAAGCCTCAGACGGGGTCGGTGGGGCAGACGCGGGTCGGATAGAGATAGTGTCGGGATCGCTGCCGAAGGACCCCTCCCAACTTCGGGTCCTGTTCCGAAAGACCCCTCCAGATCCGGCGCGAAGGGTCACAAACTGATGTCCGACTGATCGCAACGTTGGAGCGTCCTATCTACACAAGCCTCGCCGCGTCACAGTTGCTTGCTCCCGTGTGCCACCATCCTTTCATCACCTACAGCCTTTGCAAACGAAGCCTCCAGAACACGTCTCGAAATGACTGCGGCGCGACAATCGGCCTTCCAGGCCGCCGAATATATCCCCCCCGATGCCATATTCGACGTCACGAGACGATACCTCGCCGACACAGACGCCAACAAGATCAATCTTGGCCAGGGCACATATCGTGACGAGAACGGCCAGCCATGGATTCTCCCATCGGTAAAGTTGGCAAAGGAGAAGATCGGCAATGTCGGTCATGAATACCTGCCCATCGCCGGCCTGAAGTCCCTTCGAGACGAGGCGACAAAGCTTGTCTTCTCGGGCACGAAAGTCTTCAACGAGGACCGCGTGAGCAGCCATATACAACCCAACACATTTGACCTCCCGCTCACCCAGTCCCGCAGATTGCCTCCTGCCAGGCCCTTTCCGGCACCGGCGCACTCCTCTTGGCAGGCCTCACCCTCAAGCGCAGCAGCGGCATCAAGACCATCTACATCACCGAGCCGACCTGGTCGAACCACGACCTTCTGTTTGCCTCCCAGGGCTTCCAGGTCAAAAAGCTTCCCTACTACAAGGGCGGCGCGTTCGACTTTGACGCCTACATCGCCGCCCTGCAAGCCGCCGAGCCGTCCTCGGCCGTCATCCTGCACGCCTGCGCCCACAACCCCACGGGCTGCGACCCGTCAGCCGAGCAGTGGAAGGCCATCGCCGACGTGCTCATCGAGCGCGACGTCTTCCCCGTGTTCGATGCCGCGTACCTCGGGTTCAACTCTGGCTCCGTCGACGGGGACGCCTGGGCGATTCGCTACTTTGTCGAGGACCTCGGCCTCGAGGCTGCCGTCTGCCTCTCCTTTGCGAAGAACATGGGTCTCTACGGCGAGCGTGTCGGTCTCGTTGCTTTTTTGCTGCCTGACTCTGACGTGGCGCGGGCCGTGGCGTCGATCCTCGAGAATGTCCAGCGCGCGACCGTGTCCAATCCGCCGGTCTACGGTGCGAGGATCGCGGCGACGGTGCTCGAGACGCCGGAGATCAGAGAACAGTGGGCCAGAGACCTCGTTACCATGTCTGGCAGGATACGGTCGATGCGGCAGACGCTTTTCGATGAGCTGGTGAGGCTGCAGACGCCTGGGGACTGGTCCCATTTGGTCAAGCAGAGTGGCATGTTTGGATACACTGGCATCAGCCGAGCTCAGGTGCAGCTTCTTGAAGGTGAGAATTCGGCGTGGCTTGCATGCTGTTGAAACTGGACTGACCTGTGCCAGACGAGTTTCATGTGTACATGGCGGACACGTCTCGGATCTCCATTGCAGGCCTGAACGATGCCAATGTCTGTCGGTTTGCAAGTGCGTTGAATCAAGTAGTGAGAAGGTCGTAGGTGCATTCACAAGTTCTTCCGAGCATAATGTAGGTTTCCCAACTCAGCACGGTCAACCTACAAATTGGGAGTCTGTCAAGTAAGGTACTTAGGCCAGTGAATAAATGGAGGGTGTGGGATTTGCAAGGGAAAAATAAAAAGGATTTCTCCTTGCCGGGTGCCGGCTTCGATCCCACAACCCCTCCACGCGCTTTCTGGCCTGCGCGCCCTCGCAACTAGAGGCATGCGATTCTCGGGTACTTATTTAGGTTGACCTCTAGGACCACTACACCATGCGTCACGCTGTAGTGGCCCTTGTTGGGAAAGAGGAAGTTACTGGGGCCTATAGCCTTTAGAACGCGGTTGCCTGGCGGCGAGGCGGCCGGCCAGTGAATGGCACAGTTGCTGGGGCGATGTGGCCCAGGTCATGTGAGTGAGCGTCTCTAAGCTGCTGCCTTGATTTGGTGTCTTCCGTTGGAAGCTGGCTTGGTGATTGAAGAAGTCCTACCAATCTTGGCACTATCGGGCGCGGCGAGCACCGTTCAGGAACATGAAGACTTCCATCATGCCGTATCAATGTTATGATCCCACCATTCCCAGCAAACAGAACACTTAAAACCTTCTTGAGCTGCTGCGTTAATAGGAAGACAACTTGGAAGCACGAGCTCAGGACTTTCAAGTGACAACTATGATCAAACACGAGTATGCAAGTTAACGAGCGTAGCTATAAGTGCAGGCCTGATATGCCCACATGATTCTGCAGTCGACCCGATGTTGTAGTCAGAAGCCGATATTGCGTGTCTTCCAGACTCAAACCCCCAAGTCCTGCTTCAAGTGCCTCGATAATCGTGGAGTCCTCCTTCAAGGGGTCCTGAAGTTGCAGGTCCTCCAGTAGCCA